CCCTTCCACTGCCCCACTCAAATCTTGAGTTGTCCCTGTCGCCTCCAAGTCCTCAAAGCCTTCAAGACTTGCTCAAATGCTCAAGTCAAGATCCAATATTCTCTCAAATCCTCGAATGTATGCTGCGCAAGTGCTTTGCGAAGACTTGCTGGTTTGGCCATTGGATCTTTCGCGTTGACTCGGATCCTTGGGCATTGATTTTTCTGCACTTCTCTCTGTACCACTGAAGCTTGTCCTTTACTAGTAGCACATTCTTTGCCACTCCATTTCTTGTTGTGTCGTGATATCTGTTGCACTATCATTTTTCTGCTTCCTTGTACGATACCACCGCCTGTTGTCCAATAGAGCAAGCAATATATAATTTCATCTGTATTTTTTATGGCCCCGAACGAGCAAACGGAACGAGCAAGCGAGCCAAAGGCGAGGCACCATCAATGCATCAGCGGGTATATTTTCACGTGAATGCCGACTCTACCGAGGTCTATGGAGGGTCTATGGTAGACGTTGGTAGACTTCCCGGAGTCTACTGAGAAGGGGGGTGAGACTACCACTCTACGGCTCTACGGGAGCCTATCACGCACTATGTAGGGACTGGCTGTTTTCCGGATGTAGCTCCATTATACAGTCGACAGCGTCTTGAACACCCCCATAAGTGCGGCGCAGTTCAGAGTACCAATACCCGGGATTCACTGCGTCGACGATTAAAGGCGTTGAAAATGAAAGTCGAGCATTGAGAGCTCGGACGAAGTATATTGAGCAATTCAATATGGTTGGAAGAAGTAGAATAGCTAGGAGTGATGTCGAGAGGCAGTTGACTTGAAGCCTTACGTTGTTCGTTATAATGGGGCAAGAGAATGACGGTTTCCCATCCTTGGTGGGCTATTGTGGCAGCGTTTTCAACTAGAATATCCAATCAGCCTCAAACTAGTTAACGGAGTCGAAGTCGGCTAGGTCGATGAGCCACAGCTCCGCTCAGGTGTATCCAGTGGACACTTTTGATTCTATAGTTTAACGCGTAAGGAAAATATCTCAGGCAGACTAATATTGGAATCTCATTCTCAGTGGCCTCTCCTTTGCCTTGATTTCCGCAGGCAAGAATGAGCCTTGCCGGATTCATCGTCGCAAAATGTTTGGTGGCCTCAAAGCCAAGGCCTGTGTTTGCACCCAAAATAATAATAGGTTTCCCAGTTGATTGGCTTCTAGAACGGGAGGCTGTGTCACGAGTTGCGACTTGAGGAAGGTTGAGAATCTCAGACGCATGGCGGGCAAGGAATAGATATGAGAGGTTGAAGATGCCTCTTGCAGTACTGCTTTTTTAAAGTGTTGGCCCTCAATTCAGCGGCGGACGACACGTACTCAGTTGCCGTTGTACTCATCGATCATCGATGCTAACTTTGGATGACACCCAATTTATCGGCCAACCAAGCACATTGTGTGCAAGCCGTCTAGCGATAATCAACCGATAATTGTCCAGTGCAGTCCAGTGTGCAGTGTTGGTCAAGGGATTCAGCGTTTTAATTTTGGGACCGCGCCAGTATAATTTCAAATTTATCCTCCGACTCGGACGGCGGAGGAGGAACACGTAGTATGTGTCGCCTACTACATCATCATGGATCCCAAAGCCGAGTGTCTTAGTCGCCAGAAATCACGAAAAGATTTAGCTAGTCAGTGTCCGATTTTCATGCCTCCTTCTGAATGGTTTATCGGCCAAGTATCCCGATTTATTCGAAGACCATAGTTCATATCTGGAGGCGGAAAAGCAGGCTTCATGGCCTCGAAGGGCACAAGGTTGAATCAAGTAGGTTCCGGGGATATGCAACTTGTACTTGAATGCTCAAGAAGTTAGAGCGAGCACAGGATGTCGGACCTCGGCAGGTTGGTTCCAGACCAGACAATATTTCAAGGTAACCTGGACTGGGAGCTGGTCGAAGGGCAAGGTGGGTGGTTGTCCGTGAGGCGGACTCATGAGGGGAAGGAGAAAACGGTGCTGGGACTTCACGACGGAGCGGGAAAGCAGCGGGGAAGTCTGGGCCGGGACACGGGAACAGCCGAACTCATACGCAAAGGCCATCGAGGGTCAGGGAAAAACGAGACCCGCGGCGACCTGAGCGTGAGCGAGAAGACAAAAGGGAAGGGTGGGTGGGGCAAAAAGACGAATGGAAAAGGTATGGGGAGCTCAAGAAAAAGACTTTGGACGAGCAGAGAGTCGGCGATAGGTGGCAGTGCTGGGAGTATGGATACAATCTTAGATCTAATCCTATTATCAGCGACTGCCTAGTCGGCCACTTGGGTCCTATAAGAGTATGGGTATCACTTTTGGCTAAAGTCTTATCCTTATGTTGGAAAGCATATATGGACGCACCCTCAAACCAAATTTCAGCCGATTTGATGAAGTTGACGTGAGGCTGTGGCCGCTTTCGGACCGACGGAGGCTGCCGGACACCGCTTTTATTATTTTTGGAATGACAGCGCTTACGGGAGTCACCTCGTTCTCCACGACCGCTGCATCTTTCGACGAGGTCTGGTGCTCGTTCTGTTCAGTAGATGCCTGGCTACACCTCAGCACTCCATGCTACTTGCTGGGCCTCATCTGCAAGCTACTATTATTGAGAAAGACTGTTCTAAGCTGGCAAAATTCGACTCCATGGCTGTCCGCTTGTCTCCGTTGTATCGGATTCCATCGTGGTGCTATGACCTCAAAATTCGGCATGGGCAGTGAACATGGTCAAAACATTCCCTGGATGGTATTGATATGAATTTATCGAATTTATTGCTCCGTCATCATAGCTCACTGTGCCGATCAGCCACTCTCTGTAAGGGTAACACTTTGGATTTTTTCGAGGAGATGGAAGGCCCACGCGGAAAAAATGGCGGTCAACGTACGTTCATATTACTCTTTCAAAGCTGATCCCAACTCATTTTGGATGTGTGCCTCGTTTCGATGCTGTACAGGTGTTCACAATCAGACACTGTTTTGCAGTTTTCGCTATATTGCTGACCATGATTCATGTTGACTCTCTCATCGCTCCATGTCGAATTCCTTTTCAGTGTGATGCTTTCTTTCTTGGGTGTCATGATTTGGCGCCTTGGGCGCTCTGTCGCAACATATAATCGTGTGCGGGGCTCATCTTCCATCACATTTCTGCCTGAGTTCCACGCTTCTTTGCATCTTGCTTGATGTATATTCACCATGCCCCTGCGCACGGTACTCCCTTTGAGTGCACCAGACCCACCCAACCCACAGACGGACATCACTACGACGCCCGCGGAACATCAGGAATCACCTGTTGACGCTGGTCTCGATGACGATGACGACTATGTAAACTCCTCCCTCAGGAGAAACACATCCAACTGGCTCTCACTGCTTCTCAGGCAGGGCTCATGTCACAGCGCAAGGCTGCGCTTTACTACCGCGTCCTGCACAGCACCGTGCAAGGTCACGTGAAACAAGGGGGTGCTGGCCTGTGAATCCCGGACCGGGGGCTGGTTGGTCCAGCCGTCAAGGTCAAAATTTTTTTTCCCCTACTAAAAGTTTTTTGAGCTATGAAGTGGCCCAGATCACATGGGGGTGCCTTAAATCTGTCTTTTATACCTCATGAACTGTTGTAAAACCCCAGTAGGCCGAATACAAAGTCCTAGAGATCGAATTTGGTTGAGACTTCCATATTGGGTCAGATCATATCAGGTGCAAATAACTGACAAATCACAAAGGAAAATTTTATGGATCGCTGCAGACGACAGATTTGAACCAGATGCCGAGGTGAGCATTACCGCTAATGTTGAACCTGATTAATAATTTTTCTGGCTTTTAACAGAACGATGAAACCCACAAGCTTCAGACCAACTTCAGACCGACATGCTAGGAACGATCAACTTCAAGTTTGCTGCTCACATTCATCCAGTCTCCCCGACCATGAGTTCAGTGAACACGAGAAATTCTACCTGTAAACACAAGGAGCGTGAAGATTTTGGGAACCTATCTGCAGCTCTAGCTGTGTGCCTCTGTGGGAACTCTGTGGTACCAACTGATCCTTCCAATTATCCAAACTTGGTGTGCTGCAAAAATGAGTCCTGTGAAATGAAATGGGTAAAATCACATCTCCTTTGTTTGTTCATTTATTTTATTTATTTCAGTATCATCTTTCCTGCTTGAAACTAGGTAATGTTCCAGACAATTGGGTCTGTGAAGCTTGCCCATCCGCTGGTGGCCATAGAACAAAGCACCGTCGGGGTGTGTGGTAGGATTCCATTGCTGTGTTGTAATGGTTTGGTGCTGTACAAGTCCGGAAAAAATCATAGAAGACCTCACATGCTATTTGTTCATTCCAGCATGTTGACTTTAAATTTTGGAAACCCTTTGTGGAATGTTTTCCGAACCGTTTCGCTGCCTGGAGCGAGAGGTAGGTGCAAGGTAGGTGAACTAGTGGCCTTATTTGGACATCACATGGTATGACGTGGTTGGTTGGTTCCCCCCCTCGACCCCGAAAAAAAAAAAAGTCCGGCCTATGTTCCACGGTTCACAAAGTTTGATCCCCTTGGCGTGAAAGGTTGTTTGACCCTTTACTGTTATCCAAACGTAAATTCCTTGTAAATGCCAGGCTGCGGGCGAGTAACGAGTGGTTTTCGATGTTGTAGAGGCCTGTTGTATCCCTAGAATAGCTTGATTGCATTTGCTGTTGTGTGAGGAGGGCTGAGCGAGCGCAAAAAGACGAGGAAACGTGGCCGATTGAAAGGTTCCCACGCCTGGCCGGGTTCCTAGTTTTGGCCGCTTTTGGACTTGCCGCGGCAAAATATTCGCCGAGCCGTCAAAACCTCACCAAACCGGGCGCCACTTGATATGTTCCACTCGCAGGATGCTAGACTACTTCCTACCACACCACAAGGCCCAGGGCTGATACCATTCTTTGCTGGTATACGACAAACCCTTAAGGTGGCCGAATAGGCAGTCTCTGATAATATATCTTGCCTCCCACCTAGGTAGAAGCATATGTGTTTTTGTCGGCCGTCTAGCTCAGTTGGTTAGAGCGTCGTGCTAATAACACGAAGGTCTTGGGTTCGATCCCCACGATGGCCATTTTGTTTGGTATTTTTGGTGGTTTTTTTCTTCCCGTACATACTGTTTGTTTCCAACCTCAGGATCCCACCTTGATGGATAGCATCCTAAATGTGTCTGGTAATACAGGTATTGTGTCTACATAAAGTCGATGGCCCGTTTGCGTCCCTTGGGTACTCGAGTCCCCGGAATCTGTGGTTCGCCTTGCCGTTCCCGTATTGGTGGTTCGAGCGGTGGAGGGGCCGCAACTATCTTCACCACGTCTGGCGCAGGTTTCTCCACCCACATAGACTCCTCTTCATCGTGCCCTTTTTCCTTCCGTCGCTTTTTCTTCGGTCGATCTTTCGCCGGGGAAATTTGCAAGGGACCGTCTTCCTCATCCGCCTGAAACGACACGAGGACCTTCTGCTTCTTCTTTTCTTTCTTTTCTTTCTTTTCTTTCTTCTCCTTACCGCGGTCCGACTCCTTCTTGCCCTTGCCTTCGCGAGGGATAAACGTGGGCTTGAAAGTTCCGACGTCCACCGCCGCGGAAGCCTCTGGACCAGTCATCACGATGTCCGGAGGTGCGGTCGGTTGCGGCGGCGGGGGCGAGGGGGCAGTGTGTGCGGGTGCCGGCGGGTCGTCATCTTTATCGTTATTGCCTTCGTCGTCGCTGTCTTCGTCATCGCTGGCGAAAATAGCTTTGAACACATCCATAGCAGGCCGCTGGTACGTTAGCGTATCCCGGCCCTGTGCTTCGTCCTCCCCCAGCCCAATATTAGACAAGTCGCGGCGCCCGCCACCAGTAGTTGACGTCCCGACACTGCTATCGCCGGACGGAGCAGAGAACTGATCCCAGCCTGTCCCGGGGGCCGCACCAGCAGATTCCGCATGGGCTTGGGGCGGAACATCGGCGGGCACTTCCGGAGTGGGGTTGGGATCCTTTACCTTGAAACGCTTGCACAACAGCTTGGCTGGCTGCCACGGGTGCGTTTCCCGCGTCATCGGGCCATACATGCCCATCCGCGCCGCATGTGCCTTGGGGCTGAGCTTTTCTTCCTCCATCTTCAGCAACTCCGCCTCCTTCTTCGCAAGATCTTCGGCCGAGGGCGTGTACAATCCCTCATGAATCCTGGGTCCATGTTCGACGATGGTCGCAGACGTGAATCGTCCGGCCATTGCGCCCGAGAGGGGTTTGAATATCAGCGCCGCCTTCGCGTAGTCCTCGAGTTCTTTATTGAACTCGTCGATGTTCTGACCCGGCGTAGGTTGCGGCGGAGGAGGCGGAGAGTCTGCGGTGGCTTGTGACTCTAGATACGCCGTGTACCGTGCTTGTTTGTTCGGATTGGTGGCGAAAGGTAAAAATCCGCCGCGGAGAGCAGCAAGCGCAATGTGCGGCTCAGTTCGAGGGATGGCTATGGTCGCGGGCCCAGCTGGGCGGGATACGGATGCGGACTCACCGCCTGCGTCACCCGATAGGAGTCGGGGTCCAGCTGAAGTAATATTCTGCAAGCGTTCACGATCCTTTTGGGACATGAATTCGAAGACAGAGCGGGGCGCCGATGGTAAAGGTATTTCGCCCAGCAGATTACCACGCTACTTGAATGAGAAATGTGCTCATCCGTTTAAGCACCGCAGACTTACCTGGTCGGCCGAAATTCCAGATTTACTCCATTTTCCGGGTGCGGCAGGTTGAGAGGAACCCTCCGGTGCTTGAGAGTTTTCTTTGTCCCATACGCGCTTGGGATCCGGTTTCCAGCCCTTCGGAATATCGGGAAGCGGAAACCTACAAGGTATATGTGAAAAAGAAAATTATGGAGCCTAAGCAGAAAACAAACCATCGATCTTCAGCAACAGGCTTGGAAGAAAGCACAAAACCAGCGAGCACAGGTTTACCATCATGGAACGTCTCTGTCGAGAACGCGGGCCTCTTCTGGATATCAGCACGACGCTGCGCCACTGCTTAACGAACACGAACCGTTTCAGGTGCCGTCCGAGACCCAGATGCCTTGCCTCCAATGGAGATCTTTTCCTCTTCCTCCCGATCGATTATATCGTACGCGGTGCGGTTCCGGTTTTGCGCAAAGCCGCCGTCATAGACGTCCAGATCGTCTTCGTCAGCATCGTTGAGGGCGCCCAAACCGAACCCAGCTAAGCTAATGTAAGCTTAAAAGAGGTGTGCACGACAGGCACATACAGGCAAGCTTCGGTCCAGATGCGACATTATTGCGCCCTCCTACGCTCTCGCTGAGACCCATCCCAGGACGGTAACCTAAGCCATGCGAATTATCTTTGCGTTCGACCACGAGTATGGGGGTGTCCCGGGGAGCGTATGTGTGTTTATCTGCCTCCTCGTGGTCGTCCGGAAGTTCAATATCTGCTCCAAGTACCCGACGACCTGACGACGCCTGCGTATCTTGGAGTTGCCTCTGGCGTAGTGTCACGCGAGGGCCTATGCCCTGCCCAATACGCCATCCCATCTTCTTCAAGATACGAGCTCCGGCAGAGTCTTTGGCCGCGGGTAGCATCGATGCTTCCAACGCACGAGCCACAGAACTGTATTGGGTCAGACTAGCCAAGAGAATCACATTAGTTGTACGCACTCTTGCTCCTCATCGTCACCATTCCCACCCTGCATCCCACCAGCAAGATCCATCTCATCAGTAGTGTCCACCAGATCTCGGCTGTCTTTCAGTTCTTGAAGATCCTCTTCGTCCATAAAGTCTTCTGGACGCGACGCCTTTTTCGTGGACCGGTCTCCACGGGAAGAGACGAATGTCGAGGGCGTAAATCCTGCACAGAAATGAGAGGAGATAGCCAGAATAAAGAGAAAACGTACATGCCTTCCTTGGAACCTACGGTATTGAAATAACCCGCAGAGAAACCACCGGTGAATGCGCCATGGAGCCTCCTCCGACCCTTTTCATCCCGGACCTAACTAATATGAGTTTTCTACTCCGGAACGCCGAAGGGATACTATACATCTTGTTTCCAGAGCGGAACAAACTCGCCGTTGTCCTTCGACTTTTCGAGTGGAGGTAATGGAGTCCCAATCTAGAGCCAATGTTGATACGAGAAGCCAAAAAGAGGAGTGGAGCTGTACCAAGCAGAAGGACTCGTTCGCGCGAGCACTAGAGGGATCTATACCGAGATTTCCCAACTTCTTCTTCAATCGGGAACTCATGAAGGCGTTATTTGCACCTGTTGTTCAAAGTCTTCAAGCTTCAAGCTTCCACTTGGTTGCACTAAGTACACAGTCGCTGCTCCTGGGAGAACTTCGATACTTTGGGTATACCTGGAAGCCATTCCCGATTTGTCTCATTCCAGACTCATTGCCCGATGTGTTTCATTCCAAGTCTCCGCGGATTCGCACAAGTTGAGACATCATGAAGACAACTCGAGTCCTACTAGTACAGGCCTACAGTCCACTGAGCCTGGTCCAGGCTAATATCTCAGAAGAGAGCTCGGCAACAACCTCAACAACCGCACAATCATCTTGCAATCAGCCGCAACTGAATTAATCACATCAAAGTTTTGCGATGCATTCTCTCGACTCGACCCGATGTCGCTGCACTTAGAGGCCCCCGGTCACTCACCCATAACTCCGTCCGGAATAGCGTAAATCAGGGGGCGAAAATAGGTGTTTTCCCGTCCGCTATATAGCGTAAATCAACCTGTGAGGCCCTCGTCTCTGTCCGCCATAGCGTAAATCAGGGCTCGGTCGAGATTTTTTTTTGGAGTAAAGAGGCTTGCCGCCGCCAATTTTGAGTCCGATTTGAGCTTCGAAGCGGGCGGAAATCATCCGCATCGAAGGTCCGGGGCCCGGGAAGGCCGCAAAGACTCCGCTGTGTAAGAAAGTTCCCGTTATATAACACAAACTTTCTAACCTGTTATTAACATGTTAATAACGTTTCTCACATCGGAGGCTCCGGGATGCCTGTAATTAATACGTGAGAAATACCCCAAAAATACACTTTCCCCGAGTCATTTTCAGGTCAGCGTGACAGTATAAAGTACCAGAATATTCAGTGTGGTCTGGGTTGGGGCTGGGAGCGGCGAATCCGTCAAATGCAGGTTATTGACTTCGATTTGAACATCAGAAATAGCTTGGAAACAGCGCGAAAAAATGGCCTGTAAGCGTGATTATGTCATGTTAGAAACCTGTAATTTACATGCCCTTGTTATCTAACAACAGCCTGGTTTGAATCTAACGTTAGAAACAGTTACTCACATTGCCAAATTTGATTCTTACACAGCGCTAGGCCAAAGAGGCTCTGGTTGCGGAAAAAATCGGTGAAAAATGGCGTGGGAGAAAAAAAAATTGAATTTTCCGTCCGTCATAGCGTAAATCAGGCCCCAGAAGGCCAAATTTCATAGCGTAAATCAACGAAAATTTTCGGAAAAAGGCGGACGGAGTTATGGGTCAGTGACCGGGGGCCTGCACTTAGCCTGTGGCCATGGCGAACCCTTCATCCATCCTTTCATCAACCTCCTTGATGTTCAATCCTTCCGCGACAACACATCAAGTTGAATCATTATTGTCATCAACGTTACATAACCTTTGCATACATCAACCTCCTTTAAACGGTCAGATCATCAATTTGAACTTCCGTCAACGCCACCGATAAGCATAGCATTTTCTCACGTGTGGACGTAAAGATGATCTGCGCCTCTCTTTTCTTTCCTTCCACTTCTGGGCGCCTTGTTTTTATTTTCCCTTCTTAAACCTTCGTATTATGGACAAAGAATGGCAGGCCCGCAAGTCCTCTCAAGAAATCCTCGAGACTGTAGACTCTGACGACAGATACGATTTCGATTTCCATGACCTTGATCGGGTGCAGCGGCGGCTGAAGCAACGACATGTACAAATGTGCGTCACATCGGGTAAATTAAACCCAGTTACCAACCTGCTGCACTCATAGGATTGCTGTGAGTGGCTTGTTGGTTAGTGCGCGTGTGTCTTAGCTTCCGAAAAGATTGCGGGAACCGTTGGAACTGGGCTGTTCCTCGGTTCCGGGAATGCGCTTCAAGTGGCGGGTCCT